ATGATACTGTTAGCTGCCTGTGGGGTTACTTAAGCAAAGCTATTGTGTTTTTTCAGTGCAGGGTCTGTCCTGATGAGCTCAGATGGGCGTCTCGTGCGGATGGACACTTGGTGTTTGGTCGGCGTGGTGCAGTGCGTAGCACCCACTCACTGCAGGGCAGGGGACTGGAGCCTGATTTCCAAGCCTTTATGAGCCTGATCCATGTCAGTGAAAATCTTGGGGTTTTTTTAGGGACTGTGAATACCCATTTCTGGAGATTTCAGGAGAGATCCATGTGGAGAGAGTGGAAATGCACTTGGACTGCTCTGGCTTCCCTGCCCTTGCTGCACTGGGCAGTGTGGCCTGCACTGGCTTTCTGGGCTGCTTTGGCAGCAGGAATGCACAAGAGGACCTGAGAATCCGTTCGTTCTTGTTCTTTCTGATGTCCTTTTGGCTTCTTCTGGTTAGGTGGAAGTTGGTCATCTGGCACGTATGTCCCTGCTTGAATAGGAGGGTTGGATGAGATGATCCCTAGAGGTCCCTTCCCACCTTGACCCTTCTGTGATTCCACTTGGTTTTGGAGAACGTCTTCCTCCCACGGTGACATCTAAGCATCTTCAGCCACCAGTCTGAGGAGACAGCGAAGGCTCGGTTGTGGGTGACATTCTGCCCCCCTGCGCCCCTGGCCGTCCTCCCTTTTTGAGGATAAAAGCCACTGCTTTGGACAACCGTTTATTTAAATAGCTTTTGCTTGTTTGTTTTTAATGTTTGGTGAGTCTTTTTTTTCTTTTTTTGTCTAAAATGAAATGTCTGGGGATAGTGAGATGTGAGGACAGGAACGAAGCTGCTGGAGCTTCCGAGAGACCTAGAGCAGACGTGCCAAGGGAAGAGTCCCTGTCACGCAGGGCCAGGATGCTCCCCTCGTACAAACGGCACTGACTGGACTGCTCCTGATCTCCATGCAATCCTCCAGGCCCACGTTAGGACTTCAGGGTGTTCTGTGGATGAGAAGGAAGCCTGGGGACTGGTTGCCCTTCCAAGTTGTGTTGCAAGGACTGTGCCCTCCTTGCTGGGGCAGCGCTGTCCCCTTCGTGCAGGCACCTCGCTCCTTCTGTAGCTAGCGGGTCTCATGTTCCCTCGGGCAGGATTCCCGCTTTGCAGCTCTTCCCAGATTTCACCTCGGTTTCCCCCTTTTTAATAGGAATGCTTGGCCTCTTGCACTCAGGCTCGGGGAGGAGCAGCTCGTTGCTGGAGCTGGCCTGGTGCCAGATGTCATCACTTCAGGCAGTGCCACGCTGCACATCTTCAGCAGTTTGAAACGGAGAGACGGAGAGAGACAGATAAGATCAGCAGCTTTAGGTGATGGCATTGTTTCAAATAAACCATGCATGACCCAAAGCTTCCACTTCAAATGGGGAATGAAATTGCTTCATCCTTTGACAGCTCGCTCCATGAAAGAAATTTATCTTCACTTAATTGCTTTAGATCCCAAGAGGCTGTGTACAGTAATTTCTAGGAGATAATTATATCAAATTAAAAAAATATGTGACTCTCCAACTGCTGCGCGTGAGCACGGTGGCCAGAGAGCAGGGAGGGAAGAGGCACCAGCTCCGAGTGACGCTCGCAGGTCCTCGCGGCGCCGACCGCGGCCACCACGGCCACCATGGGACCCCCGTCGTGAGTGGGTGCTCGGGGCCCTGGTCCCCCCTCTAAGGCGGCCACGGCTCCCGCCGCACGTAGCTTGGAGCTTGGGGACAGCAACCCTCGCGAGGCAGAGCTTGGCACTGCCTTCATCCGGTTGTTTCTCCTGTGGAGCTGTACAGCAGAGCTGAGGAACAAGAAAGCTTGTTGATTTAAAAACATGTATATTTAGAAGCAGAGTGTAAACTTCCTGCCCAGGCTGGGATTGGATTCTGGGCTATGTTTGAGTTTCCAGTTTTCATTTCCTTTGCCCTCGTGCTTAACATTGTGTATCTCTCAGAGTGTGCCCCAGCCTAATCTCTCCTTAACCCTCCCGCGCCCCACATTTTTCTCTCATTATTTGCACCTCGGCTGCAGTCGTTCCAGGAAGCGGCGCAGCTCCCTCCTTGTCACTCGGGACACAGGCAGTGGCCCGGCTGAGCGTGGCCTGCTCCGAGCCTCCTCCGGCCCTCTGGAAGTGGGACCCTTCCTGGAAGGGTGGCCTCACCTCCCAGGCAGTGGCAGATCCACACGGGGACTATGGCAGGGCTGGAGTTACTAGCAGTTGCTGGGCCTTGGATGAAGACGTTTTTCTTTTTGTCACTTGAAATCCTGACGGGATATCCCTCTAGTTGTGACTCATGGAGAAGCAGAATCGCTGCCCAGCTCCAGGAGGGGTAAATTGCTCCATCATCTCACTCTTCCTCTTTCTCTCCTTCGATTTCAACCAGGCTGCGTGCCCGCCTCGACCGCGCTGCGCGACGGCTCCTGCCGCTGCTCGTGCTGCACATCTCCTGGGAAGCAAAATGACTTTTGTTCCCCTAGGGCTGTGACAACATTTATTATTATTATTATTATTATTATTATTATTATTATTATTATTATTATTATTATTATTATGTGCAATCCTGCACGGGCTCTGAAAGGGTTGTCAACAGTCGTGGAGCAGAGCGCAGCTCCTCCCCGCGCCTGTGATGTGCGCGCGGGTGTTTGAAGTGCGGGGCTGCTTCAGCTGTTCCCAGGAAGTCTGCAGGGGATCTGCGTTTGGACGAAGGAGGTGAAGTCCCTGCGTGTTCCTGGAGGGGATCCACTCAGTGGGCTCTTTGATGTCATCCCCCTTTTTGGACTCACATCAAGCAAGCGCCAAAAAGAAAAAGAAGCGCTTTCGACAAAGAGAAGGCTGAGAAATGCTCGGCCTAGAACGTGCGCACCTGAGCACGGTGACCTGTGGCTGGCCCGGTGTTTGGGGCAGAAAACCACAACTTGAGCTGTGTGGGAGGCGAAGGGCATCTGCTTGCCCTTGGGCTGCTAGAGCCTGAGAGCTTGTGCTGTCAGGATGGCTGTTCCCATGTATCCCCGTGTTCCCTGGGGTTTCTCCTTGTCCGTTTCTCATGGTACAGCCGCAGGGCTCAGGTTTAATCGTATCCTGGCCCAGCCGCCCCAGCACTTCCAAATGGGTCACGCGTCCTGATCCCGACAGGTTTGTTGTTGTTTTCCCTCGTGCGAGGTGTTCGGCGAAGTGGACACCTCGTGCCAAGCTTCCCTCCTCGGCCACCCTGCAGCCCGGATACCCCCTGCCCTTTTGTGTCTCCTGCCGGGAGCACCCTACAAGGCTCCACTTCCCGAGTCCCACGCTCCCAGAGCAGGAGACGGGAGAGGAGAGGAGGTTTCTGGCGGTGATCTGCAGTTGTCTGACCAGGGATGCCCTTTTCCCCCCCAGCTCCAGGCCTGTCCCGCTGCTGCAGCCCTGTGATGCTGAGCAAGGGAGCACCAGGAGAGGGATGGCTGCAGAGGACAGTGTAAAGCAGGACTTGGCTAGGCACGGGGGACAGCTTGGGGGGCGGTTTAATATGGCCAAGCCCAGGCCATTTGGTCCCCGGGGCTGAGAGGGGACCCTGTGAGAGGGGCTTGTCTTTGGCTCCCTGTAAAAATTGCATTGGCAGCAGTCGCTCCGTCCCCATCCCTTTGCCCTTCCTTTCTCTTTCCTCTGCTCTCTTGACATACTTCTCTACTTGCTTTCCTTTTATTGCTCTTAGTGAAGAATATGTGACCTAAAGCCATTTCAGACACAGTTCTTGCTCTTAATGATTTCCAAGGCTAGCTCACAGCCAAAGCGGGGAGCCTTGGGGACGGGCCGCGGGGCGCCGGGTACCCGGTGCAGGAAGTGGCAGAGGAGCATTTAAGAACCTGGAAATACAAGTTGCTCTCATCTGGCTCGAAGCTGCTGCTCGCAGCACGCTCGGCTTTGTGTTTCAGAGGCCACGAGTGAATGAGTTAATGATGATCCCAGATGGCTGCAGAGTTTGCCTCTTGCCACCCCTTCCTGTTCCCCCAGGAGCTCAGATGGTGGCGGGAGATGAAGTAAAATTCTAGAGTTTATTGTAAAGTTCATCTCCCTCCCGAAATCGTGCTGCAACTTGCGCGTGCTGCGCTGGCAGCTTCAAGGGGATGCTACCTGGTAATTAATTAGTTGTCAAGAGACAGCCCAGAGGTTCCAAGTCTTTATATCCTTGCTAATAGAAATTGCTCTGATTACATTCTCCCCCCTGGCTGGAGGGCTGCGGGGCTCGGAGCAGGAGCTATGGTCCACGGGCAGCTGGAGCAAGGCTTCCTCTCCTTTGTTGGGACTCCTCCGAGCACGCTAGCACATGCTTCCCGTGAGCGGGAGCCCAGAGGGAGCCCCGTGCTGAGCCTGGCCTTTGCCAGCCCGTTCTGCTCGTGTTGCTCATCAAACACATCTCCTGGACCCTGCCACGCTTCTCCTGCAGCTCGGGGTCTGCTCTTGGCATCCCCAGCCCCACGGGCCTCGTCTGGTTTCTTCTCAGGGTCCCTTCTTCTGGACTTGGAGGAGTGCTCAGTGTCCGCAGTGACTCCTAGGGAGTTTCTCTCAACCTCACTTATCTTCCCTTCATCTTTGGTTTTCCTCTGTGCTACCAGAGTTGGTCTTGAGCAGATTTAAGGGGCTCTTTATGCAGAGAGAAGTGTATTTCTGGGTTGTGAGAGAGGTACCTGGATTTTGGGGTCTTGTCTCAGTCAGGGGAGCCTTGTGAGCTCCTGTGTGTGCAGCGCTGATACAGAACTCCATGGCCAGTGGTTTGTTAGGTGGCCGTTTGTGGTTTTGCCTGCTCTTCTGTGGGCTCTGTCACCATTTGCAGAGATTGTCGTCTTTCCTGACAACTCACAACTCTCCTTCTCCCCGCTGCTGACCGGTTCCCTTCTCCCCGGCCTTCCAGCAGCCTCATTGTCTCTGATGTCTTGAACAACGTTCTGCCCACCCAAAACTAGCCTCGTTGCAGGTGAATCCCGTCATCCATCTGAACCCTCTCCCTTTGGCTTCTCAGGTCAGCACCATCACCCTGGACTGAACAAGGTCCTGCTCCCGGCTGGGACACAGCCCTGCTCCTCCCCTGCAGCAGGACTCGCTCCTCTGCTCTTGTCTCTCCAGGAGGATGCACTGAGTCAGTCCAGTCTTGGTTCCTGGGAGGGGACCAGGGTTGCAGAGTGGCACTTTGGAGACCTTCCAGCAGTGACAGTGGCCCAGCAGCCATCAAGCTGGTGAGGGTCCCACCAAATGGAGACTGATGACTCCACTGGTGCAAAGTGTCGGTGGTTCCTGTCCCATCCCGGCGAGGAGCCCAGGCTGGAGCTGCCTGGTCCCGTCCTGTCCGAGACATCCTGGGTTTTCGGCCTGGAGCGGGCAGGGGCAAGCGGAGACGCCACGCGGGGAGCTCGGCTCCCGGCAGGCCCCGCTCCCTCATCCCAGCCTCATCCCAGCCAGCCCCCCATGCGGCGTCCCCGTCCCCGAGCGGTGCCGGATGCTCTCACGCCTCCCCTTCCCACCCCCGGGGAGCCCGCGCCGGGCCCACCTGACATATGGTCCCATCTCCTCGTGTTTAGTTAAGCGTGGGAGGACTCGCTGCTCGCCCTCCTGTCGCTCCTAAGCTATTGTTAGTGCTGATACGGGCCCGGCAAGCAGACGTGGCAAGTTTTACAAGCGAGGCTCTGTCCCCAGCAAACACAATTAGGATGTTAGTCTGCAATAGCTGAGGCGGGGAGAGATTCACAGGGGCTGCAAAGGGCATCGTCTAATGCAGAAGATGGAGACAAAGGCATTTTTAAGGCAGGAAATGGTGCAAATGAGGGCATGGGCTGCAGGGCTGGGAGGGCAGATGCGGAGCGGGGCAATAGGAGGGAGCCGGAGCGGGAGGCTGGAATAACCAGGGGAGCGGATGAGGCAGGTGAAGACGGAGCTGAGTGGGCGCCCGTTGTGCCGAGTGGCGAGGATGAAGAGTCAGGCTGTCCCCTGCAAAATGCCCACAGTTTGGAGCCTGCGAAGGAGGTGACAAATGGGGCCGGAGTGACACCGGCGCGTTGGCCGTGCCGTGCTCACGGAGCTGGCACCGAGGGACACCGGTGCACAGTGATTCAGTGCCCGTTCCCAGGGGAAAACAGGAGGCTCGTCCCAGTCGCGGCGCTCGGGCTGCGTTTTGGGCTGCTGGCTCCTTCCTTGCTCGGCTTTTCCAGCCTTGGATCTGCCTCTCGGCTTGTTTGCTTGCAGGGAATTCAGTTGTTTGCTCTTTCAGCTCGTGACCCGAGTGCCGTGGCGGGCAGGCACCGTTTTGAAGCCGCCACTTGGCGGCCACAGCTCTTGGAGTCGCGGAGCAGCACCCATCTAACCCCTCTTTTCACACACTCGGAGCTTCCCAAACATTAACCTTTGGATTAAAATTTTCCATGCTTGGTCTGTCCCCAGATGTGATGTCTGAGCTTTGGTTTGGGTTCATGTTTTTCGTGTTTGCTGGGTTTGTGTTATGGGAGAATGAAAGAAATACTTTTCCCATTAAAAAAAAAATGCAGCCTTCATCTTTTTCTTTTTTTTTTAATTTGAGGGTGCACCAAAAATGGCTGAAATTTGGAACTGGGGGCTGAGAACGCCGGGTTTGGCTGCACGGTCCCGCAGGTGCCAGGTAGAACAGAGCCACGAGAGCCTTCGTGAGCCTCGTGCTGAGTAACTGCACATTCGGAGGCGGGCAAATGAGGGATTTTTTTAGTTTTTGGCCAAAAAAAAAGAAAAGAAAAAGTTGTTTTTCAGGCTGCGGTGCAGGATCCCAAGGCACCCAAGGCAGGAGCGCGCTGCCCTCCCCGCAACCCTCCGCTCTGCACACAGGATCGGCACTGGGAGCCTGCGTGGAGGCACAGCGACCCCGCGGTGCCGGCGCCCCGGGCGGCTCCGTTGCTGCTCCCGCGTTTGGGAAACACCCGGCCGTGTTTCGCGCCCGGCTGCGGCTTTGAACGCCCTGCAGCCAAACGCTCTGGTCCTGCTGTTCCCACCTCCTTGTGAAGTTAAGGGCGCCCGGAGGTGCTTCGCCTTTCCCTAGGTTGCCTTTTTCTCTCTTTTTTGCCTGGCTGCAGCTTCCCCCGCGCTCCGCTCCAAGTCTGCGCGCTGCTCATCGGGTGGGGACCTGCCCTGTTCACACCAGTGCTCGTAATGTCTGGCCGGCAGCGCTGCCAAAGGCCGGAATTGGCTCCCCGTCCGCGGCTGGATCGCGAGGACAGCGCGAGATGGAGGGTGGAGTGAGCGAATCCCCCTCTCTTCCTACTGGGCTTTCAGGAAATGTCTCTAATGCAGCTGTAAGTGTGAATGAAGTCAAAAGGATGGAGCGGTGCCCCCGCTCCAGCCCACCCCACTCGCCTGGGCCCATCCAGAGTCCCCACCCTATTGTTCTGGTTGAGCTGCCGCGTTTTGGGCAGGGGCCCCGGCGTTCTTCGGGCCTGCTCCCGGGAGGAGGAGCTCCGTGGAAAACAAAAGACGCAGCAAAGAGTTTTGCTCGAGCGCGGTCCGGCCACCGCCGCTTCCAATCGCCCCTTCCCTTTCCTAGGTGTGCTTGCAGCTTGGAGCGAGACGTGGGCCATTGATGCCATGCCCAAGTCGCTGAGCGGGAGCGGTGAGGGCGGCGCTGCCGCTTCCCGAGAGGCAGGATCCGCGGGGCCCCGCTGCGGGAAGCCGCCGGAGCGGAGCGCATCCCGCTCGGAGCGGCCCTTTCAGGCGCCCGGCTCCTCCTCCCGTCCCCGGGAGTCCCCTAAGTGGCAGCATTTCGCTGCGCAGCAAAACGCCGCGTCCGGCCCTCCCCGAAGGGGCCGCGTGGAAGCGGCGGGAGCTTCCCGCGCTGCCCGCGCCGTGTCCGTGCTGATGTCCGCAGCCGGCCCAGCCACGGCGGCGTTTTCCTGGCCTTGTTGCATAGCCTCCCGGATCCCCGCAGGATTTGCCAGGGAACTGGGGCACGGCGCAGCAGAGGAGCTGGCACTGGTGGGTGCTCCCCGTGTGTAATCCTGCCTGGGTGCTGCTATCCAGCCTGGCCGTGGTCTTTGCCTCCTTGGCATTGCCAAAACAATCCTCTGGGTGTTTCCGTTGTTTCTCCTTGAGGAGAGGTGCCCACTGGTGCCCAGGTGCCAGCGGGGCCCGTGGAGCAGTGCCGGGTAGATGGAGCTCGTGGAGTTTGGTGTGGTTGGGATAGCAGAGCTTTGCCTCCCGTAGCTCTGGCCCAGGTACCTGTGGCAGCCGCCTGCAAAGCCTTTGCTCCGTGGGCGTTCCCAGGGGGATAGCGGGATTCGCATCAGCCCGGGATTGCTCCCGAGCGCTACGGGGCTCCAAGGATGGGGCTCGAGCGCCCGCCGGGCACAGCGGCCTGGCAGGAGGGGGGATCTCCAGCTCCCGCTGCCGTCAGTGGCGCAAGCGTCCGATTCGTGCCCTAGACGGAAAAGGCTGAAGGAAACAAAACCCACGCGACCTGATGGAACAACACGGCACCCGAGCGAAGGCGACGTGCTCAGGTTAGCTCCGATTCCAGGCTGTCCTCCCCAAACCTCACCCAGGTGCTGGGCATCAGCCCAGGGACCCTGCACCCCGCGCTCTCTCTCCCCATGGATTCCCTTGCGTGGGGGGCTCGGGAGAGACCTTTCATGGTGTCTGTTTGATTGTGTTTTTCCGGCCCAACGGCCTTCCCGAAATTCAGAGCCATTCGGGCCACTGAGAGCAACCACTATAACCAGTTTCCCTAGAGCAGGATCCCAGTTCAGCAGGTCGGGATGGGGACTCTCTGAGAATTGCTTGCCTTGGAGGAAGTGAAAATGCAGGCAGGGGGGCTGCAAGCAGCCAGGTGGGAACCGTGCTGCCCCGGGGGGTTTTGGTGGTTTTTGTTGAGCAGTCTCGGGAAGGCTCTGAAATCCCAAGTTTCCTAAAAGAAGAGGAGAAAATTCCAAAGACTTTCATCCCAGTTCAAGTATCCACCAGGGCAAGGAACTGGGGAGGTTACAGTGGGATCTCAGATGACATTCTCTGAAAAGCAAACTTAATAGAGTGCAAGTATGAAATGGCTGTGCCCTCTGCACGGGCTTAGCCAGCGTCTGCTCCTCTTCCTCGTCTGCACAGATTAATGAAGGCCAGAAAGGGTGAATCACGGCATCTGCCCAAGGAGCCCCTCCGCTTTTGAAGCCTTTGGCACCTCTGCGAGATATTTAAATGACAGACAGACATATAGGGATCTGTAAATACTCATTTGGTGCCAACTAAACCACAAAGAAGATACAACATTTGTGGTCCAAGGAAGTTTAAATATTTGTGGTCAAACTTAAAATTCGACATAAAACTCTCATCTGTGATGGAAGGCGTCCAGGAACTGCATGGAGAACGTATAAGCTGTGTAAACTCTCCGAAACGGCTTCCAGATCAGCCCTGCCAGGACGAGGCCGAATGTTCTAGCTCTTACCTCTCCTCTCCGTGCCGCTGCCGAGGGCAGAAGTCGCCTTTGTGAACGGGAGCAGCGGCCTGGGAGCATCTCCACGGGTAGAAGTGCAGCCCGGTCCCGGTGTCACAGGGCTCTCGTGGTGGTTCCTGGCCTCCAGGAGAGGAGGAGAGGCAGACAGGGCTGAAGGACAAGGGAAGCTCTTAGGGTGGGCTCTGTTTTGCGCCTGTTTTCACCATCCTTAGCGTTTTCCCACTCGATGTGGAGCCTTTCCTTGCAGCTCCCAGCCCTGGCTCCCCTCGGCTCTCCGCTCTCTTAGCCATGAGTGTCCTGTCTGGTGCTCCGTGAGTCATGGCCTTACTCGGTGGCTCCAGGCACGCAGCCGTTGCCTACGCGGGGAAATCCTTGTGAAAGAGCTCGCGTTATCAGCCAGGAGCGAAGCGCCTGCCCTGCCCGCCGGCTTCGCACGCCACCCTTATCTGCTCGCGGGGCGCTGGGCTCCGCTGCGGATGTGGCATCCGCCGGGGCCGAGCGGAGCGCCCTGCAGCGCCGCGGCCGCCGGGCACCGCGCGCCGGGGCCACGTGGCACCCGCCGCGCTCCCCTAGCACCCGGCAAACGCTTCTGCTCCAGGACTTCACAGGGCAGATAA